GGGGATACTGTGAGTACTGGGGGGGGGCACTGGAGAGGGATTCTGGGAGCATTGTGGAGGGGAACAGAGGGTAACTGGGAGCACTGGTGGGTATGGTGGGGGGGCACCAGCCTCTTCCTGCTCCCCCCCAGCTCAGGACCACCGACCCGAAGCCGCCTCCAGCCAGGACCCCCCTGGCAGCACCCTGAGCCCGGGAACCCCCACCCAGGACCCCCCCTCTTTCCCAGGGGCGGGGGGGGGCAAATAAAGGTGCTGCTGAACCCCCCTGTGTGGTTACTGGGGTCCCCTTGGGGGGGCAGGCTACTTTGGGGTGAATTCCAGGGGTTTTGGGGTCCCAGGGGGCCATTTGGGGACCAGTCTCAGGGATTTGGGGGTCCCGGTAATTTGGGGGGGGCAAATTCCAGGGATTTTGGGGGTCCCAGCAGATTTATTTGGGGTGGATTCCTGGGGTTTTGGGGTCCCAGGGGAGCCATTTTGGGGCCAGTCTCAGGGATTTTGGGGTCCCAGGAATTTTTTGGGGGGGAAGTCTTGGGATTCTGGGGCCAAACTCAGGAATTTGGGGGCCCCAGTATACTTTCAGGGGGGCAAATTCCAGAGTTTTGGGGGTCCCAGCAGATTTTTGGGGGGTGAATTCCTGGAGTTTTGGGGTCCCAGGGGGCCATTTTGGAGCCAGTCTCAGGGACTTGGGGCCCCCAGATTTTTTGGGGGGGGTGAATTTTAGGAGTTTTGGGGCCAATCTCAGGGATTTTGGGCATCTCAGCTGATTTTTTTCTGGTGAATTTGAGGCTTTTTGGAGCCCCATTTTGGGACCAGTGTCAGGGATTTCGGGGTTCCAGTAATTTTTTGGGGGTAGGCAAATTACAGGGATTTTGGGCTCCCAACAGATTTTTTGGGGGTAAATCTGAGGCTTTTTGGGGTCCCGTTGTTCCACAGCGTCTGTATTTCTCTGTACAGGATATAAACAGCGATGGGGGGGATTGTGGGGGGGGTGCAGGATCCGTCCCTTTCCTGGGCCAGGCCATGTCAGGGTCGTGTCCCCCCCCCAAAATGTCCAGGATCCGGCCCTGCCGCTGGCTGTACCAGGGGTGTCGTTGCCCCCCCGCCATGTCCAGGATCTGGCCGGGGGCTCAGCGTTTTTTTTGGGGTTGTGTTGGCTGGATCCAGGATCCAGCCACTGTCTGGGATCGCACCATATCCAGGATCCCTCCGTGTGCAGGATCCAGCCGTGTCCTGGGGATTTGGGGGGGTGGGCTGGGGGTGTGCAGGATCTGGCCATGTCCTTGGGGGGGTGTCAGGGTTGGAGGGGGTGTCCCACTGCATCCAGGGGGCCACTGGATCCAGGATCCGGCCGTGTCCCAGGATCCGGCTGGATCCAGGATCTGGCCTTGGGCTGTGTCCTGGGGGTCCCATCATGTCCCAGGGTCTGCCTGTGTGCAGGATCCAGCCACTCGGAGATCCAGTGGTATTCTGGGATCCCTTGGTGCGCAGGATCCGGCCATTCAGAGATCCAGCAGTGCCCCAGCATCCAGCAGTGCGCAGGATCTGGCCGTTCAGGAATCCAGTTGTGTCCTGGGATCCCTCTGTGTGCAGGATCTGGCTGTTGAGGAATCCAGCGGTGTCCTGGGATCCCTCTGTGTGCAGGATCTGGCTGTTCAGGGATCCAGCAGTGTCTTGGGATCCATCTCTGCACAGGATCTGGCTGTTCAGGAATCCAGCGGTGTCCTGGGATCCCTGTGTGTGCAGGTTCCAGCCACTCAGGGATCCAGTGCTGCCCCAGGATCCAGCAGTGCCCCAGGATCCCCTCCATGTGCAGGATCTGGCTGTCCAGGGATCCAGCGGTGCCCCAGGATCCAGCCGTTCAGGAATCCAGCGGTGCCCCGGGATCCCTCCGTGTGCAGGATCCGGCCGTGCTTGGGGTCCTGCTGGGAGCTCGGGGCACCCCCAGGCCCAAGACCTTGACCTCCCCCCCCTCCCCCCGCCAGATCCTGCCCTGGGGTGCTGTGGGGCCCACGGGTGTCCCCTGGGTGTTGTGGGTGTCCCTTAGTGTCCTCTGGCTGTCCCCAAGTGTCCCCCGGGTGCCCCTCAGTGTCCCCTGGGACCCACGGGTGTCCCTTAGTGTCCTCTGGGTGTCCCTCAGTCTCTGCTGGGTGCCGTGGGTGTCCTCAGCATCCCCCGGGGGACCCTCAATGTCCCCCGGGTGCCCCCAGGGTGCCGTGGGGCTGGCGGGTCCCCGATGTCCCCACAGGTCAGGGTCCCCGGGGTGGCCCCTTGGGCTCACCGTCACCGCTGTTCCCCACGTTCCCAACGTTCCCCCAACGTCCCCGTGGATCAGGGCGCTATGGGTGCCCCCCTCGATCTCGCTGGTCGCTGTTGTCCCCCACGTCCCCGATGTCCCCGCGGGTCACGGTGCCGTAGGTGCCCCCTCGGTCTCGCTGTCGCTGCTGTCCCCCATGTCCCCGAGGTCCCCGAGGTCCCCGATGTCCCCGTGGGTCAGGGCGAAGGGTGGCAGCTCCTCGTCGGAGGAACCCAGCGAGTCCTCGTCCCCCAGGCGTGTCCCCAGCCCCACCGCCCCGAAGGCCAGCGGCCCCCGCGGCAGCCGGATCTGCGGGGACAGGGGACAAGGGGACAGGGGACAAGGGACATGGGAACACGACAGGTGATGGGACAAAAGGATGGGGATGAGGAGAGAGGGACAGGGGACAAGGGACATGGGAACGCGATAGGTGATGGGACAAGGGGATGGGGGACAAGGGGACAGGGAACAAGGGAATAGGGATGGGGCCGAGGGGACGGGGGACAAGGGGATGGGGACAAAGGGACGGGGACAAGGGGACAGGGACAAGGGACATGGGACCGTGATGGGTGATGAGACAAGGGGATGAGTGACAAGGGGACATGGGATAAGGGGACAGGGAACAAAAGGATAGGGATGGGGTCAAGGGGACAGGGACAAAGGGATGGGGACAAGGGGACATGGGGACAGGGAACAGAGAGGTGGGGATAAGGGGACAGGGGATGGGACAGGGGACAAGGAGATGGGGACAGGGACAAGGGGACAAGGGACGAGGGCATGTGGGGAATGGGACAGGGAAGAAGGGGATGGGGGACAAGGGAACGGGGACAAGGGGACATGGATGGGGGAAGAGGGGACACGGAGAGGGGATGAGGGGATGGGGACAGTGTTGAAGACAAGGGGACAGGGACAAGGGACAAAGAGACAGGGAAGGACCAGGTGACGGGTGGAGGACAAGACAGGCAGAGGGGTGGGGGACAGGAGGGGACAAAGGGACAGGAGAGGGGACAGGGGGGACAAGGGACAGCAGAGAAGGGGAGGAGGGAGGAGAGATGGGGAGAGACATTGTCACCAGCTGTCCCGGTGCCACGTGGCTCTGCGGGGACGTCGCCGATGGCACCAGTGCCCAGCACAGCCCTGCTCGGGGACTGTCCCCAATGCGTCCTAGCCTTGGGGACATCGGGGACCCTTTCCCGGGGGGGCGGTGTGTGTGGGGTGACCCCCACCATGCCAGAGACAGGGGATGATGTCCTCTGTCCCCAGTAGGCAGGGTCACCCCCCGCCCCAGGGAAGGGTCCCCGAGACATTGTGTGGGTGCTGGACCCTGTATGGGGGTCCCACAGCACCCATGGGTGCAGGGTACAGGTCCCCCAGCACCCGTGGGTGCAGGGCACGGATCCCCCAGCACTTGTGGGTGCAGGACATGGGTCCCACAGCACCCACGGGTGCAGAGTACAGGTCTCCCAGCACCCGTGGGTGCAGGACGTGGGTCCCCAAGAACCCATGGGTGCAGCATACGGGATCCTGCAGCACCCGTGGGTGCAGG